GAAGCTCAGTGGTGGTGTTCACCTTTCACATGTCTGCAGCTATGATGGCAATCAAAAACGTTTTTGTCCCCATTCAGGGGAGTTTTTCCATTATGCTCAATGAGGATAGTGGTACTATGTACTCATCCTATCTTTAATGCACTAGTTCAACCTGATATTTTCATAGAATATGCTGAGTTTGGAGGGACCCATCAGGATCATCGAGTCTAACTCTTGGCCCTGTGCAGGACACCCCAAGAGTCACACCATGTGCCTGAGAGCATTGTCCAAATGCTTCTTGAACTCTGGCAGGCTTGGTGATGTGACCGCTGCCCTGGGGAGCCTGTTCCAGTGCCCAACCATCCTCTGGGGGAAGAACCTTTTTTTAATACCCAACCTAAACCTCCCCTGACACTTCAGGCCATTCCGTTGGGTCCTGTCACTGGTCCCCACAGAGAAGAAATCAGTGCCTGCCCCTCCTCTTCTCCTCATGAGGAAGTTGTAACTGCAATGAGGTGTCCCCTCAGTCTCCTCTTCTCCAGACTGAACAAAGTGACCTCAGCTGCTGCTCATACAGCTTCCCCTCAAGGTGTTGCCCGAAACAAGAACACAAACCAACAGAGTGTCAGTTTATGCGGTGCTTTATTTGGGCCCGGGAAACCTGAGGACTAGCGTCCCAAGTCAGGATTCCAAAGACCCTCATGTCGACTACATCTTTTATGCCTTTAACAAACAAAGCTACGTGATTGGCTCACACATCAAAGCAAATATACCAGTTATACATAAACTTACATATATCATCCTGAATACAATCAACTGTTACCTCTCCCCTCTAACATATTGTGTAACTGACTCCCACCTTCACCATCTTCACTGCCCTCCTTTGGACACTCTCTAATGGCTTAATATCTTTCTTATATTGTGGCACCCAAAACTTCACACAATATTCAAGGTGAATATCTGCAGAGCAGAGCAGGGCAATCCCCAGCGATGCTGTGCCTGATGCCCCACAGGACACAGTTGTCCCTTCCTGGCTGCCAGGGCACTGTTGCTTCATGTTCAACTTGCCATTGACCAGGACCCTAGATCCAGAAATCTCATAGAGGCAAAACTGTAATGATCAAGTCTAGTTCTGAGGACTGCCCTCCAGATGCACTGGAAATATCAAGAAATCTGTGAATAATCTGTAACTACATCTGCAATCACCTTGCCATTTAGGAAAAGAAAACTTTGGAGATATTCCTTTCTTCTCAGATAAGATATCAACAGGTTGTGGTTATAACTTACTAAACATCAGTACTCAGTTTCCAAGAGAAACAAAGAAGGTGCATCAAAAGAGCTCTGCATTTAGAGGGAATGTGCCAATTTGTGATGAGATCATCTATTTATATGTTCTCAACTTACAATTTGACATTTCTGATGATGATGAAGAGCAGTATTTTGAACCCATGGAAGTTCAAGAGAGAAAACTGGTCATACTTGAATTGTTTTGGTTGTTTAATCTTGGAGCCCTCAACATGAGGGCTCTGAAAGGTGAGTTTTGGTTGATCCAACTACATCAGTTTAAAGTATTACACCTCCTGTCCATTTGCCTTGCTCCTATAGTAGGGGTAGCAGAAGGAAACATTTGCTTGGCTCTTAACTAGCTTGTTCAGTCTTGGGATGTTAATGCAAACCATCTTCACTGGTGCCATAATCTGACGCACTGATGTAGTGGGTAGACCCTGGCTGGATGCCAGGTAGTCAGCTGCTCTCTCACTCCCCTCTGCAACTGGACAGAGAAGAAAAACAGTGAAGGATTCATGAGTTGAGATAAGAGCTGGGAGAGGTTCACTTACTGATCACCATGACTGGCAAAACAAAGTAGGGATATTAATTGAATTTATTACTGACAGGGGCAGAGCAAAAGAGTGAGAAGTAAAATAATCTTAAAACACCTTCCTTCCACCTCTCCTTCCTTCCATGTTCTCCCTTCTCCCCCCAGTGGTGCAGGAGGATGGGGAATGGGGGTTACGGTCAGTTGTTGTTTCTGCCATTGCTCAGGGATAGGAGTCCTTCTCCTGCACCCATGGGGTCCCTCCCATGCCCCCATGGGGTCTCTCCCATGGGACACAGTCCTTGATGGATGTCTCCAGCGTGAGCCCATCCCACAGGCAACAGTTCTTCACAAAACTGCTGTCCCGTGGGTCACTCCTCCATGGGGTGAAGTCCTTCACCAATGAGCTGTACCGGCGTGGGTCCCCCACAGGGGTCACAAGTCCTACTTGGGAAAAGCCTGCTCCAGTGTGGGCTCTTTTCTCCACGGGCTGTAGGTCCCCAGCAGGACCCTGCTCCATCTTGGGCCTCCCACAGGGCCATAGCCCCCTTCAGATATCCACCTGCTCCAGCATAAGCTTCTCCATGGGCTGCAGGTGGATCTCTGCACCCTGGTGGTCCTCCATGGGCTGCAGGGGGACAGCCTTCCTCACCGTGGTCTTCACCACGGGCTGCAGGAGCCTCAACTCTGGCACCTGGACCACCTTCTCCCCTTCCTTCTGCACTGACCTTGGTGCCTACATTGTTGTTCCCATGTTCTCACTCTGCTTTTCCCTGGCTAGAATTCTTTCTGTGCAATACCTTTCTGTTCTTAAATATGTTATCACAGAGGTGTTACTATTACTCCTGATTGGCTTGGCCTTGGCCAGTGGCAGGAAGTCCATCCTGGAGCTAGCTGGCATTGGCTCCACCAGACAGGGTAAGCTTCTAGTAGCTTCTAACAGAAGCCACCCCTGTAGTCCCCTGCTACCAAAATTCAACCACAGAAACCCACTACAACTGGACAATGAAACAGTCTTGTAGAAATGTGAATGTGGGTTACCTTCTGCTACAGATGATAACCTCAGTTAAAGGAACAGGGCAGATAACTGGTAACAGTAATGTCTTAAAAACTAGATCCACCATCAGAGCTTTACAGGACTTTTTCGGTGTGGCTGACATTTCTGGGTTAAAACGAAAAAGCTGACTGACTTTTTCCTAAGAACACAAGTTTCTCAAATTGTGTTTCAAAATTTCAAGAGTTTTAATGGAGAAATAAGGTAGTGATATGTGTGTGTATGTATGTATATTAATGTATATGTTTTATTTAAAACATAATCAAATTTGAAATGTCTCAGTCTGGAAGCTTCTACTTCATGGTCATACCTAAGACCTACTATGAATCTCAGTGAGGTCATAGCCCTCTTAGTCCCATGGAGAAAAATAATCTTTGTCACTGTATGAAGGTTTCATAAAAAAAAAACAAACCATTTGTTTTAATAAGTAGTGTAGGGAAGTTAATCTATATAAGTTCTCATATGAATCCAACAGTTCTTGTTGTTGTACAGAAAAAGCAAAAAGCACCATGCTAAAAAGCTGCACCTTCAATTAATCAAATTTATTTTGATTCACATGTCTATCATAAGATTGGTTGGTGTTCCTACTTTGAAAATTCGTTATTTACAGTTGACCAGTTTCTCTGTGGAGTTGATTGTATTTGTCTTTACTGTTCCAGCCATTGAATGTTGTACGTACTTTTAGAGTTTTAGGAAGTTAGAGATATACAAACAGATTTGAGAATTTAAATTATGGAAAAAAACCACAAACCTGTTCACATCACTGGAATTGACCATCTTACTACTTGTTACTGTGTTCTAGTGTTAATTTTGGATATGATCCTTTAAAATTTTAATTCTTCTGAATCAGAATCATCTACAAGTAAAGAGGAAATTAGAAGTCATAGTTATAATTCTGGTTTACAATTTGAGATGTTGGAGGTTTGTTTATTGTTAAGAGTTTAATTCCTTCTTCCTTGATTGCATCCTCCTTACCTTTCTCCTGCTCCCAAAAGGAGAGCTAGCTCATTGCATCTGGTGATAAGGCACCACAAATCTAAGCATAGAACAAGTTATTTTTCTTATATTGCATTTGTGGTCTAGACATTTTGACAGAATTTTCAACCTGTGTTTGGTCATTACTTTGACTTAAAATTATATTCCCTGATTATAGAGAAAATATTTTTTGTTATTGACAAATTACAAAATGATAGCTGAGAAATGAGAATATAAGCCTTAGTGCAGGTAGGGCTTTTGAATTTCATGGCAGAAATTAATTTTAGTTTAGAGTATCATGTTAGTAATACAAATAGGTTGTATTTTAAATGAATAGAACATACTCTTTTTGATATTTTCATGTGCTTCTCATTTCTATGAATTCTAACAAATTATGGGGGAGGTGGTTAACTCACTTGCTATTTTTCTGTATTCTACTCTTAATGATTTTTTTAAAAAAATGTAAATTGAATGGATTATTGAAGAGTCAAGCTTTTGATGCTAAATAAAACTATCTCTGAACTTTTTATTTCATCCATAAAAAGCATTATGGTTTCAAGGAGAAAATACTCAAGCTTTTAAATGTGTAGTGGCCCTCCTTTAATACATGTGATATGGTATATAGTCATACTTTTGAGATACTCCTTGCTTCAAAGAGAAACATGGAGTGTTGGACTTATTTTAATAATTTTTATCCATTGTTTGTGTGTTCCCTGGCTACAATATCTGTGAAGTCCAACTGAATCAAGTAGGGAGAAGCTCTGTCTTAATCACTGCAGATCCTTGCTTAGTTCATGTATAATGAAGCAGGCTGAATCTGCAAAAGAGAGTCTTTTATAGTAGTATTCCTCAAAACTTGCTTCAACTGTAAATTGATATTTTTTTTGCCATTATTACAACGGTTCTCTTGGGAATTTTACAGGGATTGATTTCATATGTTTGGAAGGTGTTTTTTAATGATTAATTGACACACGTGGTAGATTGACAACGAATGATAGTCTGAATACATTAAAAAGTATTTGAGAAGTTCTATTTTTGCTTTTAAATTAATTGGGTTTTGTTGTTTGTGTGCACATACATGTGAAGGAGGATTAATTGGTGGGGGTTGAGGGGAATGGACATTTTTGGTTGGACATTAATATATAGCACTTGTGATTTTTCTCTTTTAATTTGTAGATAAGCCTCTGAAGAAGCGAAAACAAGAAAACAAACCACAGGAGGTTGGAGGTGCTACTGGAGGAAATAAAGCAGCTTCTCAGGAGACAGGTTCTGTAGGAAATGGGGCGAGGCCAGCATTGATGGTTAGTATTGATCTGCAGCAAGCAGGAAGAGCAGACTCTCATGCAACACTAACTCAGGATTTGGACATCATCAAAAAATCTGAAGAAATTAAGCAGTATAATGATGGGTTTGTGTGTGTTCCCCAAGAAGACACTTTTGGTGTTCTTAAATTTAAACCTGAAAACCATCCTGAGATTTTTAGGAAAACATCAGACTTTGGAGGTCAAAAGTCAGATATCCAGCAAAATGAAAACAGGCAAATGGAATTTCAGCAAAATGTGAGCAGGCAGTTGGAAAGTAATCAGAATGAGAAGAAACAGGTAGAAGCTAAACGTGAAAGCAAGCATGAAAGCAGACAAATGGAAGTGAAACACAATGAGAACAGACAAACAGAATCAAAACAAAACCAGAGCAGGCAAATGGGGATGAAACAAAATGAGGGCAAACAAAATAATGGCAAACAGGAAATAAAGCAGAGACCCGAAACGCCAAAACAGAAGAATGAAGGCAGACCCGAAACGCCAAAACATAGACATGATAACAGGAGGGACTCAAGTAAACAATTATCAGATAAGAAAATAGAAATATCTAGGCATAAAATAGATGTGAAATCTGATTCTTCAAGGATAAAATCTGAAAGTAGGTCCGATCCAACAAAACAAAGGCCTGATGGGCATTCAGTTTCGGATACACCGAGGCGTGACCATGATAGCCTTAAACAAAGATCTGAGGACAGGGAGGAGTCAGAGAGATACAGAGGAGATCCATCCAAGATCAGAAGACCTGAATATTTGAGATCCTCAAACAAAAATGAACATGATTCTAAACATGGTATTAAATCTGATGGTTCAAAAACTGAGAAATTTGCAAGGAAACATAGACATGAGTCTGGTGAATCAAGGGAAAGGTTTTCTTCTGGGGATCAGAAATCAAGACCTGACAACCCTCGCATTAAACAGGAAGGTAGAGGAGATTCTAGTAAATCAAGACCTGATAGACCTGGTTTTAAATCACCCAACAGCAAGGATGAACGAAGGACAGATGGTAATAAGAGTAAAGTAGATAGTAATAAAACACATGCTGACAATAAAGCAGAGTTTCCCAGTTATTTGTTGGGGGCAAGATCTGGCGCATTGAAACATTTTGTCATTCCAAAAATCAAGCGTGATAAAGACGTCAATGTCACTCAGGAATCAAGGAAAACTGAATTTAAAGGTGAACAGGACAAAGTAGAGAAGATTGGGCTAGTTGAAGATCTAAATAAAGGAGCTAAGCCTGTAGTTGTCCTTCAAAAGCTTTCATTGGATGATGTGCAGAAATTTATTAAGGATAGAGAAGATAAATCAAGGACCTCTTGTTTTAAACCTAACAAGAACAAGTCATCCAAATCTAATAAAGGTAAGATTTTTTTTAATGTTAATGTCATTATATCTTTTATACTCCTGTTCTTTTAGATTTACTACTCCTGTGGTTAGAAATTAAATGTAAACATTTGATAGTTAGTTTATAGGCTTGCTTATATGATGATTTTGGGGAACAAATTGAAATTTGTCTATGGGATTGTGGTTATTGCAAATCTTGCTACAGTGTAACTAAAATGATTTGTTTATTCCAATGCAAGTTCCTAATGTGGGAACACTTAAATAGTCTTAAACTGTACTTCAGTTACATTCATTTAATCTGGTAGTTTATCTAGTTAAACATAGCTGCTATATGAATGATTAGATGTGTCTGTATAAGGGAATGGTTCTACTGTAACTAAATTGCTGTAGCTGAAGTGGTCTGAAATGCTATGTATACAAGCCCTAAGATTCTTTTATATTTTTATTTGGAAATGAAATGTGTTTTTTCCAAGGGATATTTTGACAAAATGAAATAAAAAGGCAGTTACGAAGCCCCATCTACCTCTTTTACAGTATAAATACAACTCTGTTGGGAAACCTCCACACTTTGGTCTGTGTGACAATAAGCTTATTAAAAAGTTCTATCTTTAGGAGAATTCATATAGCTTTTTCTCTATGGTCCAGTGTATGCAGAAAGAGGAAAGGAACTGGTAAACAATGGACTGTCATTTTCAAATTAATAATATGAACATGAATTTATTCATAACAGATTGTAGGTTTGATATTTGTCTCTTCTGCAGATTTAACACTTTTTTATTCTTGGTGCTATAATTTTGGTGTCTTTGGTTTCAGACTGTAGTAGATAATTTCACATTGTGAAATCAATGTTACTAACTGGTCAGGGTTCTTTTCTTTTTTATTGTTTAGCATTTAAAGCTTTTAGATTTCTTATGTAGTTATGTTTATAGAGCTGTCATGTCCCAAAATAGACAAAGTGGCAGGAGAGAGTATTTCAGCTGTATACAGGATTATTTATGAATGCAGTTCTATGTATATCGTTCATTAATTCGAGATTGAAATGTTTTCTTACAAAGTTGATATGATAAGAAATTATGTAGAAATCATCTCAGTGAATGTATAACTGTTTATGTGCATGGTACAGAGTTGATATCTGTATGATGAATTTATTTTGACATGTTCTCTATCTGCTAACTTGATTGTATTGACTCTTAAAGACTTCATAATTCAGCATGAGTATTACTTATTTGTAAAATATTAGCCTCCTTGTTAAATATTTTCTCTTTATCCTGGAAATATGAACATTTTCCCTCTCCCTTTTTGATATTCAGAACAGGTAAAATTTCCATTTCTAACAATAATAGAAATCTAGAGTCAGACATAAAATTATCACATCCTTGTTGTCAGATTAGTCTAAAGATTTCTGATGAAACTTTTATGTTCTTCATAAGGAATACTGAAAACTTTCTGACGGAGTTCAGCTCATAAGGATAGACTTTGAATTCACACAAATCTATGTACAGAAAATTGGTAATTTTTAGAGCCCTCCGAGCCATATACAGTGCATATATGCTTTCTAAAATGTCTCTGAAATAGGCTTTTTGTAGTCTATATTGTATGTGGTTATTTATATAGTATATTTTAGTCACGTGTAAATTGACATTAGTAGCAGTGTCACACACAAGCAATGCATTAATTTTAAATTCAGGTTTATAATTTTTCTTCAGTGTTTTTGTGTATTTTTGTGTTTTATGAAGACATATATTTCTTACATATTCTGAAGTAACTTGGGACATATTTTCCAGGGGAAAAAAAATGTTTGAATCTGACTCCAGTCTCTTTGCTATTGTATCTAGAATAAGATTCTTACAACAATACTAGAAATAAATTTTGTGGAAAAAATAACTATGTTTCTCTTACAAATCAAGTTTTGAGTGTTCATCCAGGCAGATTTTGGAGAAAGTGTCTTTGAACTTCAGATTTTTCATGTGTATTTTTAGTTTTACATTTTTTTTTGCCCAACATCCTATCCTGGTCATCTACTTTCTATGACATAATTAAGTGAACTCCAATGTTCATAATTCAGGTTCATAATTCACAAAGATATCTCTTAATAAGCCAAGGTCTATTTGTCAATAACTCACTGATATAGAAAATATTCATGTCATTTCCACAATGTCCTCACTCCAACTGGGAGTTTTACTCCGTGTCGTTTTTACTTATAACCATTTTAATATACTAGATGTAATTTTCATCAACATTCTTTATTTAGTTCATCATACATTTCTTAATAAGTTGTAGCAATGCTTTTCTAGGGTTACCTTTTAGCATCATTATTCCACTTTTTCTCACATCCCTCCTATTCTATGTAGGTTAGTATATTTTGCTTTATCTTTCCTTCTTTTACCTCCTTGTATTTCTTGTCCTTTTTTTTTCCTTTCTCATCCTCCCCCAAAAAAATGTTCTCTCCTGGCTTTGTCACTTACAACATCATTGCTGTGATTTATCTGAAACCCAGTTTAAAATAAGATTAGTTCGACTAGTTCAAAAAACATTTACATAGTCATTCTGTCTTAAGGGATGTATTAAGTCTGGCTGAGTTGGAGTTCATTTCCCCATAGCAGCTCTCACAGTGTTGTGCTCTGCATTGGGAACTAGAAAGATGTTGAGAACATACCAGTGTTTTGGCTACTGCTGAGCAGGGCTGGCACAGCATCAACACTGTTAACATTCCTTCCCCTCATTGAGGGCAAGATCCTGGGATTGGACACAGCTAGGCCAGCTGACACAAACTAACTAAAGGCATATTCCATACCATATGATGTGAGCTCAGATATAAAAGCTAAGGAAAGGAGGAGGAAGTGGGAGCATTCGTAGTTTCCAATGTTTGCCTGCTGAGCAACTGCTCTGCGTGCTGAAGCCCTAATTCCTGGGAAGTGACTGGACATCACTGCTGATGGAAAGTAGAGAACAAACCTTGTTGTTTTCCTCTTCATTTGTGCACGTCCAAACTTTCACATTTTTTTTAGTAAAGTGCCTTATCTCAACCTATGAGTCATTTTCCATCTTATTCTCTCTCCTCTGTCTGGTTGGAAAAGGGAGTGATAGAGCAGCTTGGTGGGCACCTGGTGTCCAGCCAAGGTCAACCCACTACAACAGACTAATGCCCATTGATTATAAAACTCAGTAAAATTGCCTTGGTTTAAGCTAAAAGTAATGCTACATATACTAAAAGTCTACACAACTTTTTACATTGCTTCAGTAAACCTTAAATTTTAAAATCATACCTTTATTGTGCACATGGATTAACCTTGCATTGTACTGTAAAAAAACCAAAGTAACATTTTAAGCAAATTTTATATATGGGTTTGAAATTTTGTAAAGCTTTTATATGACTAGAATAGCTGTAGTACATGATCGTTAAGATTGAATCATCCAAACAGTCCCTTTTGGCATATACAAGGAAGAAGCAACATTTTTCACTCTCTCCTGAGCATTTTTCTGAAAGATGCACTCTAACTCAGAGGAAAGTTATGGAAGCTTTTCCACAGTATTTTTGTTAAGGGATCTTATGCTGAATTTTTGTAGCCTGTTTTGTCCAGATCAGAATGAATTATAACTTTTTTTTTTCCTTCTGGTTTTAACATCTGTGAATGCCTTTTATCCTGTTTTTAATGCAAATATATGTTGTTGGGGAATCCTTTAAACTTTTCCCTTTGAGTTTCTGCCTGCAATGAAGAAGTCATGTTTGCTATCCTTGTTTTTTAGAGCTTCAATGAATACCTTCTCTTCTGTTTCTTATAGCTATACTGATCAACTATCTTGAGATTAGGCATGATAACAGTTTTACAGTTCATAGAATCATGGAATCATTTAGGTTGGAAAAGACCTCTAAAATCATCAGGCCCAACCATTAATCTAAGACTGCCAGATCCACCACTAAACCATGTCCTTAAGATCCACATCTACATGTCTTTTAAGCGCCTCCAGGGATGGTGACATCACTTCCCTGGGCAACCTGTTCCAATGCTTTGGGTGAAGAAATTTTTCCTAATATCCAGTCTAAACCTGCCCTGGACCAACCTGAGGCCATTTCTTCTTGTCCTATCTCTTGTTACCTGGGAGAAGAGGCTGCCCCCCACCTGGCTACAACCTCTTTCAGGTAGTTGTAGAGAGCAATAAGGTCCCCTCTGAGCCTCCTTTTCTGCAGACTAAACACTCCCAGCTCCCTCAACCAGTCCTCACAGGACTTGTGCTCCAGACCCTTCCCCAGCTCTGTTGCCCTTCTCTGGACTCTCTTCAGCCCCTCAATGTTTTCTTTCTCATGAGGGGTCCAGAACTGGACACAGCACTCAAGGTGGAGCCTTACCAGTGCTGAGGACAGGGGGACAGTCACTTTCCTGGTCCTGCTGGCCACACTATTTTTGATCCAAGTCAATATGCCACTAGCCTTCTTGGCCACCTGGGTACATGCTGGCTCATGTTCAACCAACTATCGACCAGCACCCCCAGGTCATTTTCTACCAGGCAGCTTTCCAGCCATTCTACCCTCAGCCTGTAGCACTGCAGAGGGTTGTTGTGACCCAAGTGCAGGACTCAGCACTTGGTCTTGTTGAACCTCATACAATTGGCCTTGGTCCATTGATTCAGCCTGTCCAGATCCCTCTGCAGAGCCTTCCTGCCTTCCAGTAGATCAACACTTCCACCCAAGATGGTGTTGTACACAAACTTACTGAGAGTATGTTCGATCCCCTCATCCAGATCATTAATAAAGATATTAAACAGTACTGACCCTAATACTGAGCCCTGGGGAACTCCACTGGTGAGAGGCCACCAACTAGATGTAACTCCATTCCCCACCACTCTCTGGGCCCAGCCATACAGCCTGTTTTTTACCCAGCAAGCAGGGCACCTGTCCAAGCCATGAGCAACCAGTTTCTCCAGGAGAATGCGGTGGGAGGCAGTGTCAAAGGCTTTACTAATTCCAGGTAGACACATCCACAGAGAATGAGAAAAATAAGAGAATGAAAGAAAAAT